CAAACATATTAAAAGAATGTTATGTTGAAATAAAATGCAATATATATTTCATCAGCAGATGGCTGCCATATTGTACTCAATGGAAATTCGGTAAGCCACTACTGCTTGTGCAAGTTTGCCAAAGTGAGATTGTACATGGCACACTACTAGCTGATGGAATGGAAGGTGACCACCACAGCACTGTGTTCCAAATCCTGGGCGCTGACTGGCTCAGTGACTGTAGCATAGATTTGTTTGCTCTCCCCAACTGTGCCCATATGTTTAGCATCTCTCCTTGTACACTTCACATCAATGTGTCATTGTTGTGTATAGTGTTGCTCTGCGTTGTCGTGTGAAATTTTTTAAAAGTTTAAATTTATTTTAAGCCCAAGCCCTATTATGACACCCAAATGTTCTGTACCTTCTAAGCAATACACTGCTTCTAACAATGTACCCAAGCTCCAGAGGGAGATGCTTACTATTAAAGAAAAGGTGGAACTTCTCCAACATGTTAAAGGAAGGCAAAAACTATGTGGCTGTAAGCCACCATTACAGGATTAATAAATCTATTGTTTGCTACATAAAGAAAGGCAAGAAGAATATTAGGTCTATGGCAACAATGACTTTTTACAAGCCTGCAAAGAGAGTGGTTATTTCCCACAATAAGGCCATTGTGTGGATAGAGTCTGCATTGGCACTGTGGATAAATGACTGCAGGAGGAAGAATATCTCGATGGATACCAACACCTTCCAGATGACAGTCAAGAAACTTTATGATAGCATGAAAGCATGGATGTTGATTTTCACAATGGTGACAAGATGAAGACAAGGACAATGATGCAGAAGTAGGACATTTGAGTGCTTCTCCCACCAGACCAACCCCATTCAGTGCCAGCAAAGGCTGGTTTGACAAATTTCAAAGACTCTGGACTCAAGAGTGTTTTTTCTGCATGGAGAAGCTGCCTCTCTGGATAAAGCCAGAGATGAGGAGTACTTGAATGACATGTTCAAATCCATCACTGAGGAAGGGGGCTATAAGCCTGAATAAGTTTTTAACATGGATGAGATGGGCTTATTTTGGAAATAGATGAGGTCTTGCACTTTTATTAAGAAGGACAAAGCAAAAGCCCTTAGTTTTAAGGCCCCAAAAGATTGAGTAACTGATTATGTGTAGGAGTGCTGCTAGCTTTATGATAAAGCCAGGGCTTATTTATGTCAAAAAACAAAAACAACCAAGGACTCTAAAAAACAAAAATAAGAATAAGAATGTGTTGCCTATGTACTAGATGCACAACCCAAAGGCCTGAATCAGGAAACTCCTCATGGCTGATTAGTTCCACCAGTGCTTTATCCTGGAGGTTAAGCTTTATCACTCTGCTAAGGCTGTGAAGCTGGCAAAACTATTGGGAGGAGACAGTTTCAATACTATGACTCCTGACGCTGTGAATGACTTGATTAATGTCCACTCAGAACCACTGATGCACAATCTGACTGGGATGACAAAATTAGTAAGTGAAGAACAGGATGAGGAAGAAGATGAACTACAGGCTGAAGAGGAGGAGAAGGTTGGCCTAACACTTGACTGTTTTGCAACCAGGGTCAGAACGGCCAAAGAATTTCAGCAAGTGGCTAAAGAATGGGACGCCCAGATGCTTCATTCATTGCACTTCATAAATACAATTAAGAGAAAAACCTTCTCACTCAGAAGAAAAAGCAGCATCAGCAACTTGGATAAAGATCAGTTACTCCTTCATCTTTAGTGGGAATAAAAGTTATGGTCTAGGGTGAAGATATTGCACTATCTGATAAAGCGCCTGATGAAGTGGTGCCTTCACAAGAGCTGAAATGTTCTTCTTGGCTGTGCAGTATATTCATCTCATCATCATCACCTTCATCACCATCAGTACTACACAGCTATATAATTTGTAATTCAAGTTGTACTACACTTCACTGGTGAGTACCCATATAGAATTTTATATATTGCTAAAATTACATAGGTTTAAGAGTGTAGAAAGTGTTTAAGAGCATATCAAGTGTTTGTAAGAGAGTGGGAAAGGTTTATAGGAGAGTGGGAAGAGTTTATAAAGCCTTAAAAAGATATACACAAAATAATAATAAAAATAATGCTACTTCACAGATTTTCACTTATAGTGGAGGTCTCTGGAATGTAATTCCTGTGATAGGGATATGTATATATACATATATGTATGTATATATACATGGGTATATATATATGAATATACATATGATTATAAATACATATATTCCAGAATGAAAAATTCATTGAATAGATTAATAGTCTATGGCCAGGGGATAAGAAGTAGTGTTTGAGAGAAAAGAGGAGTGCCATGATAATAGATATTGGGCTTCTTTTCAAAAGGACTAAAATGTTCTAAAATTAGGTTACAGTGATAGCTTATGCAGCCTTGTGAATACACATCTACTAATATATTACTAATTGTATTTCAGTGTTGGTTTGCTAATTTGTGGGGAGTGAGGAAGATTATCTACTAGATATGAAAGTGTATTATAAAGCTATAATAGATGCTAGTGGCTTATGCTTGTAATCCTAGCTACTCAGGAGGCTGAGATCCGAGGACTTCAGTTCAAAGCTAACTCAGGCAGACAAATCCTAGAGACCCTTCCCTCCAATTTAGCAAAAATCAGGAAGTGGAGGTATGGCTCAGATGGTAGAGCATCAGCAGCAAGGAGGTGAGGCCCTGTGTTCAAGCCCTGGTAGTGATACAAAAGGGGGGGGGGAAGCTATAATAAAGTTACATTTGTATAAGAAACAGGTAAGATTTGGCAGCTTAATATTTGGTAAAAGGAACATCAAATCAAAGGTTAAGGTATGAGTTCATTCAATAAATTATTGAAACAGACTATTCACCAACATTCAAGCTAGTTCCAGTTCTCGTTCCATAACTGAAAATGTATTCCAGAAGGAATAAAGAATTAAATGTAAAATAATTACTACCTCCACCAAATAAATATCAGAATCTTTAGATGACTTCAACATTTCATTCTGTAAGTACATAGTTGTGCGTCTGTTTATATAGAGGGAATCCAAAGGAAAATACAGATACAACTCTTTTCATTTTTATGTAGCTCTATGTTAAACAATCTTAAGTTGAAATGGAAAACTAAACAACTAGCTTTCACACATAGTATATTTTTTTATTTTTCTTATTAAGGAATTATACAAAGTGATTGCAATTCTGTAAGTCAGGTTAATAAGTACAATGTTTCTTAGACAATGTCACCCCTCTCTTTGCTTTCCTTCATTTTCCCCCTCCCATCTCTGCCCTCAAATTGCATAGTTCATATTTGAATATATTGAATATTAAGTATATTGAATAACAATGGCTACATTTTCTCATCCTTCCTCCCCAGTCCTGGCTCCTAAACATTGATTTTTAACACATATATACACATATGAATCATTATTGCAAGTAAGAGAAATTCCTTAAAATCAGAATTAAGTGTAGTAAGAATTTTATTTTTTATTTTTTTTGTAGTAAGAATTAAAACATTAAAATTTCATATGAATATATGAAAAATTACAGGGCCAGGGATTGAAAACAGGGCCTTATACATGCCAGGCAAGTAGAGTTCTATCAATGAGCTATAACCTCAGCCCATTTAACTTCCCTAATAGTAAAAAAATAAAAATTTGGTCAGTTATAGTCTTAGCACTCAGGACATGAAGGCAGGATTGTGAGGTCAAGATCAGCATGCACTACATAGCAAAGACCCTCTTTCAACCAAGCAAAAAGAAAAATTAAATAGATAACATCATCAGTCTTTCAAGCTATAATGATTGGTAACACATGACTAATATCCTATATGCTGGTCAGGTTGAAGTTACATGAGTATTCTTACAAATGTTGGTAGAATTATAAATTATCACTTAATGGAAAGCAATTTTGTAATATATATGCCTAAAATGTTTTTGCACTTTGACCTAATAATTTTGTTTCTAGGAATCTATCCAGGAGCAACTAATTTTAAATGTCTAATAATCACAGAACTTGATGCCATAAGAAATTTTTGATACACATCTAAATGACTAAGGAAAATACAACAATGAAGTTAAAAAATGGTAACTTGGTACACCATAGGTATGATTTCAATTTTTTTAAATAAGGCATTTAATACAGAAACACTGAAAATTAGTATTAGCAATAGTGTCATAAATAGATGGATTATTTTTATTTTATGTTTTCTGTAAAAATCAAGAGAATTGAAAAACTTTTAAAAAACCATTCTGAGGAAAGCTAAAATCCCCCTTCACAAAAACCAGTTAAGAACTATAGGATAATGATATTTTCCATAAATAAACTAGTACAGGCTATGAAAGGTATAAGGACTATAAACTGAAACTAAGGAAAATGTTGGGGTTTTTTTTGGTATGTTTAAAGACAGATAAGATGTTTATGGTAAGAAGAGTACATAGAAATAAAGATAAAAAAGATTATTTGTTGAAGATTTCAAAATAGGCAGAAAAGGTAGAAAGCAGAGAAATATATGTAGTAACAAAAAGATGATTTGTAAAACTGAGGTGAGCAAGAGATGTCTCAACAGAAATTTTACAGGAGAGGGGAGGGGTGGAGACTTGTTTTGTAAAGGAAAGAAAGGCCTGAATCATCTCATTCATTTTGGATTCCTGTACTCCTGTCATAGTCAATAATTTGTTTCATACTAGCTTCTCAGTCAGAATCTTTGGATGTATAATATTTGTCCAAACAAAAGAGAAAAAAAATCTAAGAATAATTTATAGGTGATTCAAAAGATGACAGGGAAATGTATAAAAAGGATATAAACAATTCAAGCATACCAAGTAACAATGCAGCTCTAAATTTTTCTTAAAAAATACAATTTCTAAAATAGAAATAAAAGTTTCTGCTCAGAAAGTAACTCAACAGTGTGGCATTTATTTAATACATTATTCACGGTATTATTCTTAACAGAACTAGCTGAAAGTTGCTAGTTATAAATATGAAGATTTTCCAGCAACTTACCACTGCCTTGAATCCAAATTCCTAAGTTCTCTAAGTAGCTTTTCATTTTTTTTCAAGAGATGAAAGCTCCTCCTAAACAGAGAGACTTATAAACATTTTCATCACCTTAGCAGTAAACAACATTATATAGTAGCAGAAATATTTTCCATTCTCCTCATGCAACTTATACACATTTCTTGCCTTTTCATACTTCTAATACAAAGGAAAACAGACCCTAAAAATGTAAAGAAATATGTCATTTCTACAAGGCTCTTATTCATTTCTGCTAGCAGATCATATCTACTGGCCACTTCAATTTCTCTTGAAGATGTGTGCATCCCAAACTCAACCAGAAAAGTAGATATGATTATCTGTAGGAATTTGTTTTCTTCCTTGTTAAATATTTTATTTTTAAGCTATAAAGGAATATATATTAACTCTTATTAGTGTTAATATGTACATAAAATCAAAGTTTACTGTGGTAAAAATACAGCTTTTCCCATCTTTAATTATTCTTGGGCAACAACATACAGACCTTTCTATACCAAGAGACTAGTCAGGCAACAACATACAGACTAGAATGAATTTAGACAACTACTGAATGAAAACGACTTGCACTTGGACATCCCACAGGTAAACCATGTGCCTGATATAATTGGTTTAAGGTAGGGATATTGCCTGTTAAGTATGAAATGAGTATCCAGTTATATCTGGGTTTCTTGTTCCCCTCCCCCATAAGCCAAACAAAAATGATATATTAAAGAATGCATTGTCTTCCACTTTCCTACAACATTTCATAGCACAGAAATTAACACAATGTATACCAGGTACTGGTAGCTCACACCTATAACCCTAGCTACTCAGGAGAATTGTATTTAAAAACCACCCCAGGTAAGAAAATCTGTGAGGCTATCTCAAATTAACCAGTAAAAATCCAAAAGTGGAGCTGTAGCTTAAGTGGTACAGTGCTAGCACAAAAGCTCGGGACCAGCATACAGGCACTGAGTTCAAGCCCCCAGGACCAGCACAAACAAGAACAAGAAAACAATCCAACAATGTAAGGAACAGAATTCAGAGGTAGAAGCTGTGCTTCAGCATGTATCAAGAACCTGAGTTCAATTCCTACTATCCAAACAAACCCACCCCCAAAAGCCCAACAAAATCTAAATGTATATCAGTAATGCTTTATATTAATATCAATCAATCTTAGTGTTTCTTTTTGTATAATATATGATTCTCTCTACTATATGAAGTGGAAATCATTCTCAATTTACAGATTATTTCCAAAGACTTAAAGATTAAGTATCTCTAACCTAGGTCTTCTGATTTAAGTTGAATATTCTTTTCATTTAACTCTCACCTAACTTAAGTACATTTTTTATAGTAAGATTTTCTTTTTGGGCTTGGTCATGAGGTCTGAGTGCTGTCCTTGAGCTCTTCTGCTCAAGGCTAACACTACTACTTAGAGCCACAGTGCCACTTCTGGTTTTCTGATGGTTAATTGGAGATCAAAAAGAATCTCATAGACTTTGTGCTTGGGCTATCTTGGAACCACACTCTTCAGATCTCAGCCTCCTGAGCAAGCCACCAGCGCCTGGCTAAATTTTTGTTTTGTGGTGCTGAGGGTTGAACTCAAGGTTTCACATTGCTAAGCATGCACTTTACCACTGAACTATCTGCCTTATCTTAGTTATTAATAAGGTTTTGTAAGAAATCAAAATAAGATTAAAAAGTCCAGATTCTTTCCTTGATTTGATCTAGAATTTTGAATTCCACTAACTAAAACCAGAAATGATTGCAGTTGGTCTAAAAAAGTTGTTAAGCCTACATGAAGGCTGAAAGAAAGATTTTTTTTCCAATCATATGAGCAATAATTTCTAAGTCAGAGATTTATAGCAGTCATTCTCAAAATGCTAATAATTAATCAGATTAAATGGTATTTTATGTTCCTGAATCTTGATATAACTCAGTAGTCTTAAAAAAAATCCACAGTTGGGTGCTTGGTGGCTTATTCCTTTAACCTACCTACTCAGGAGGCTGAGATCTGAGGATTGTAGTTTGAAACCTGCCCAGACAAAGTCTGTGAGGTTTTTGTCTCCAGTTAACAACCAGAAGCTGGAAGTGAAGCTGTGGTTCAAGCAGTAGAGTTCTAGCCTTGAGCAGAAAAGCTCAAGAACAAGGCCCAGGCTCTGAATTTAAGTCCCAGGACCACCACTCTCATACTCTCCCCTCCCCCCTCCTTCCTTTTTTCCCTCTCCCCTCCCCCACACACCCCTAAAGGTTAAAGAACTAATTGGGAGATAAAATTTGGTAAGAAAAAGATTAGAGAATAAAATCCTTGATCCAGAAAATGCTTAAGATTCACAATTAATCAAGCCAATAATTACATCAATAGTGTAGCTCTACACAGGAGATGAAGGGTATAGTTAGTATGTATGATCTGTAAAATAACTGGGATGAATTCCCATGTAGACCTGTGTAATTAGATTTGTTAACTAAAATGTACTTTAAGATAAAAATCTGTAAATGAATAATTTATAAATTAAAAAAGATTAAACATTTAAAACAAATGAAAATATATATTTTTTATTCTTACCTTTTGTCCCAGGAATTCATTCCCAATATACTAAGAAGCAACCTGCAATAATAAAATGCTGACTGAGGTTTTTGAGGTACTGGTTCATCTTGCTCCACAGCTTTCATGTTTAAGTCATTAAAGTGCTTCTCAACAAATTCTTTTTCTTCTGTATATTGCTTAAGGATAGCATTAATAACATCATTTTCCTGCTTTTCAGAAATGCACACAGGTTGTGGAGCAGGAATATTAAGCGAGATTCCAGTTCTCTGTAAGCATTCAGGACTAGTAACACCCAAATACTGCAAGAGTTCATCAAGAACATCTTCCTCATCTCTTATTGTATCCCAAGTTGGTACAGTTTCTCTAAACCTTTTAAACTGGAGAGAAAATCCATCTTTTACTGTCATATCTTCTAAGCATTCATTAGATGTAGGAGACTCTTCTAATTTCTCTTGGTGAGGCAATGAAAGTATGAAAGATGTAGGTTCTGAGAAGCTGCTTAAAGGAGGTGGTCCATACAGTATTGCAGAATCCCATGAGTATTTTCCAGAAAGATCACGTACTATGATTCTGACATTTGAATTGGCTGATGCAAGTCCAGCAGATAAACCACCTCCAGGTATACTCTCTTCTGATCTGATCTGGATACAAGACACTAAGGTTGTGTTGTTCAACACAAAGAATTGGATATTTGGACTCTCAAAGAGTTCAGGAGACAGCTCAGTACTTTCACTGTAATGATTGTCATGATTTTCACATACCTGACTTGTTAACATAGCAGGGCCACCGCTCATTGGGTAATGGCCCAAGTGATTTACCAGATGGGTAATAACAGTTCGGGCTGCTATAGAGATTAATCCTTGTTGCATTTGAGTTTTCACTAGAAATAAAAAAAAAATGAATACTAGTACTGCTGCTTCCTGGAAGTCATGAAACAAAATATTAGCTAACAGGACCTCTATCACAATGTTAAAATCACAATCAAATTATTTGCATTAGTATTTTCAACTTAGATTCCACATAACTGGAATGAAGGTAAAGAGGAAAGGAGACACTTTCTTCAAAAATTTTTGCTAATGGGTCCAAATTTAAACCAAAAATTTAAATATAAATTCGCTTTTGAAATATCTAAAGTATTATGAGCTGATTCTTTAAAATATACTAAACACACAGATCAAATACCTAATGGAATCTAACTTCTAAATATTTTTTTTTTATCTCAAGAATAGATTCCAGATTCAGAGACATAGTTTGCAGCATCCTTTAAATGTCACTGAATTCTGGCCTTTACAAATGATATAAAAATGTTTTACAGAAAAGTGATAGTTCAAATAAACTTCAGGACTCAGAATGAACTTAAACAATTAATAAGTGCAGCATATATATATATATATATACACACACACACACACACACACATACATACATAGTGTATATATATATGTTGCATTGGTTGTTTAAGTTATATATGTATGTATCAAGGAAACTTTTAAAGGCAAAACTATTTTATGGGTCTGCTTATTTTTATATAGTTTTCTAAGGAATTCTGGGTCAATGTGATCTAGTCTAACAACAGCAGGCCAAAAGCATTGTTTTTCTTTTGTAAGCACATTAAGGAAAACAAACAGATAAGCATATTCACATGAGTAATTTTAAAATGTTTTATGAAAGAATACAATGAGAAAACTCAAAGAATATAGAGTAGTCTGAGAAGCTCAGAAAGGTGAGAGGTCTTGTTAGGATCTGGAAAAGGAAAACACAGGTGATGAGCCAGAAGACATAAACAGTAAAAGGGAGAAGGAGAAAGGATGTGGGCATTAAGTTGTCAAAGTCACTCGTTAAACACTGACACTGATTGAAAGGAAGACTGATAGAGAAATCGGTTCTGGATTGAGTACTGTCAGGAAGTGGGGTAATTGGCTTATTGTTTTTCCCCCCCTTTTCTCATATCATTTGTTTTATTTTTGTTTTTTAAAATGGTTATTCTACATATGGTGTAAGAGAGGGGTTATAGTTACATAAATCAGTAATGAGTACATTTCTTTTCCCTTGCTTTTGTTTTTTTCCTCCTGACCTCTCCCTCCCACCAAATTGTATAGCTCATTTTAACACAGTGTCTAGTAAGTGTCATTACTGCATTTATTCACACTTTGTCCCACCATTCCTGTGCTCCCTCTTACCCTACCCAAAACATAACCTTACGTGAAAGACAAAAAGTATGGAAAACAAAAACAAAAATAAATAAAAAAGAAAACAAAAACAATGACAAAGGAGAAAAAAACCCAGAATAACAAAGTACCTCTTGTTTCCATTTCTTAGAGTTCATTTAGATAAATACAATGTGATATGTACAAAGCAATTGAGCACTTGTGATCTTCTCGTAAGCATATCCTCCTTTGGTCTCACTGTGTGAATGTATAAAGTCCACTATATTATGTTCATGTGTATTTTTTTTTGTCTTTTACCTTCCAGCATGTTTACTTGTAGATTTATAGGCTAACCCATCCCTTCTCTTTTTTTCTTTTAAATTGAGATTAGGTGATTACATAAATTTTATTGTGGAATAGTGATACTTAGAGTCACAAACACATTTTAACTTTTACAAGGCAAATTGTCATTATCATGGTCTATAAAGTTTGGGAATTCTATGAGCTTTGACAATATAAATTATTTCTTCCACATCCGGTAATGTTTACATTTCTTTCCTTTTACTTAGTGTAGGCTGTTCCCTCTTTCCCTCTCATTCCTCCCTTCCCAGGTTGATTGGTTTCTTGTTACTTTTCATTTAAGAAGTGGAAGCTAAGTTGTCAATGGTAAAGATCTATTAGTAATTCACGTAATTACTAATTAGATCTATTAGTAATTAATATTAGTAATGCATTAGAAGAGGACATTTAATTGTCTGTGTGTGGGAAGGAGGGAGACAGAAAGAGAGAGGAAGGGAGAGAGAGAGAGACAGAGAGGGAGGGAATGTGGTTTTACCACTACCTATTTTTAGCCATAATTACAGAATAATTATGTATCTATATTATCAACCAGTCACAGAATAAATCTTGCTTTAGTATTGTTTCTATGCTCTGAAAGTTACCAGGTGGAAACACGAGGGCCTGACTACCAGAATATATATTTGTCTGAATATAAATATAAAATTAAGTGTGGTACTATGTGCCTATAATCCCACTTAATTGGAAGTAGAGGCAAGAGAATAATATAAATAAGGCCACCCTATTCTAAAATACAAAATAAAAAAACAAAAGGGATGGGTTATAGCTCAAATCCTTGCCTACCATGTGTAACCATGTGAAGGTCTCCTAAGTTCAATCCCCAGTACTTCAAAAATATTTAAGGATGCCTTGATTTACATACAATAAAAGCCCCAAATATAAGTGTTTAGTTTGATGACTTTGGGTAAATTGTATTAAAGTATGCAACTACCAACATAATCAGTATGCAGAAAAAGTCCCTCATCAAAAAGGATATTTATCTTATAGTTATTTATGTAAACTATAACTCACTGAACCTAATGTTTAAAAAAAAGGCTGGCTTGGGAACTGCTGGTATGATTTCTTAAAAAGAGGTGAGAGAGACCAGTGTCAGATTAATACATTAGTGCTCAAAATTTAAAACTAACATGTCTTGTTAGAGGTTGACAGTGAGCAACCAAACACCTGCTATGTCATCCGTACTAAAAACAACTTTTCTAACTGTAACAGAGAACAGCTTATGGCTTTTGTTGCTTTAAAAATGTTATAATTGAACCAGGAATGATGTCTGACACCTGTAATCTAGCTCCTCAGGAGTTGGAGATTGGGAGGACTGTGGCTCAAGGCCAGCTTGGGCAAAATACTTGCCCATAATAACTAATAAAATGGACATAGTGACTTGCACTTGTCATTCTAGTTACTTGAGAAGCATGAAAAAGATAACAATCAAGGTTGGTTCAGATATAAACTTAAGACCCTATTGAATAAATAACAAAGCAGAAAAGAAATAAGGATGTGGTATAAGACCTGCCTAATTAAGAGCAAGGACCTGAGTTTAACACCACCAAAATAGTTACAATCAAATTTTTTTCTAAGCCTAACACTGGTGGTGTATGCCTGTAATACTAGTTACTCAGGAGGCTGAGATCTAAGGATTGAGGTTCAAAGCCACCCCAGGTAGAAAATTCTATCAGAGAGTCTATCTCCAGTTAACCAGCAAAACAAGCTGGATTGGAAGCATAGTTCAACTGGTAGAGTGCCAACCATGAGCGAAAATGTACAGCAAAAGTGTAATCAAGGCCTTCAGGGAAAAAACAAATAGTTTAAATAGGGATACAGGTGGACCCATCGCAACAATGAGATGTACAAGTCGTTATGTCAAAAATGAACTTTACAACTTTCGTGAGGGGTGGGGAGGATTGGGTGGGGAGGCGGGGGGGGGAATGGGAAGGGATGGGAAGGGGAACAAAGGAGGAGGCTACAATGCTTGATAAGAAATGTACTCATTATCTTGCCCATGTAATTGCAACTCCTCTGTATTTTCACAATAAAACAGTATTTTCACAGTAAAAAATAAAAAAAAGAATTTTTAAATTAAAAAATTTAACTTAAAATTTAATTAGCTTATATTAATAGTATGAGGTGGTTTCATTGTAATAATTCCACAGAGCCTACAGCCTACTTTGTTCAAGTCATCCTACCCATTATATTCTCACATTCCTCTCTCCTAGCTTTTACAAACAGCATTTTGGGGGTTTCATTATGCTATCTTCATATGTCAATATTTATTTATTTATTTATTTGGTTGGTTGGTTGGTTGTGGGGCTTGAATTCTAGGCCTGGACACTGTCCCTGAGCTCTTCAGCTCAAGGCTAGCACTCTACCTCTTGAGCTACAGTACCACTTCCGGCCTTTTCTGTTTATGTGGTGCTGAAGAATTGAACCCAGAGCCTCATGCATGCGAGGCAAGCACTTTACTGCTGAGCTACCTTTCCAGCCCCTATATGTTAAAACTTAAACCTTTAATTACTGGACAACTTTTATAACTGTATATATGTAAATATAAAGATTTCTTAGCATCTAAGTATATCAAACTATTTATAAATTATTACTCTAGTCCTAAAAATCTGTTACATATTACTGATAACACTAGATAATTGAAATCAAGTTAATTTTCTTTTTCCAAGACTGTGTAACTGAATGCTATGAAACAGGGTTGGCTTCAATCGTCTATTTTTGCTCCCTAATAGTAATTTATAATACAATAAATGTTCACACTGTAAGTGGATAATCAAGCTAGTGCTCCTCATTCTGCACATAAGGACAAATGATTCACAAAGTTAAGTGATTTAAAATTTAGTTTTTCTAGGCATAGGGGCTTTATGTAATTGTTTCTACATGTCACAAAGAAAAAAGCAGTTTAAGAAGGAGTAAGTCGCTGGGTGCTGGTGGCTCACACCTGTGATCCTAGCTACTCAGAAGGCTGAGATCTGAGGATCACGGTTCAAAGCCAGCCTGGGCAGGAAAGTCTGTGAAATTCTTATCTCCAATAAACCACTGGAACCGGAAGTGGCACTGTGGCTCAAATGGTAGAGCGCTTGCCTTGAGCTGAAGAGCACAAGGACAGCACCCAAGCCCAGAGTTCAAGCCTATGACCGACAAAAAAAAAAAAAAGGAGTAACTACAGAAATTAGAGCTGTAGGGAAGTGGGAGATAGTAGTGAGCTCAGGGAGGAAAAGACTAGCCCTGATATGAAATAAGTAAATCATTTAATTTTGTGAATCATTTATCCTTTTGTGCTGAATGAGGAAGACAGTATTACTGCTGGCTCTCGCCTATGGCAGGAGGCTAAGATCTGAGGATTGCTGTTTTAAGCCAGCCAGGGAAGAAAGTCTGT